CTAGAGAAAGCCCGCGCACAGCAACAAAGACCCAATGCAGCCAAAAATAAATTAATTAATTAAATAAATAAATTTATATATAAAAAAAAGAAATGGACGCCTTTAGTATATTATGAGATAATTTCACTTTGGAAAATTAGATTAATTTTCTTTTAAGAGTGTACTGTTCAAAGAACTTCCCCTGGTGGCGCGGTGGTTAAGAATCTGCCTGCCAATGCAGGGGACACGGGTTCGAGCCCTGGTCGGGGAAGATAGCACATGCCACGGAGCAACTAAGCCCATGCGCCATAACTACTGAGCCTGCGCTCTAGAGCCCACATGCCATAACTACTGAGCCCACGTGCCACAACTACTGAAGCCTGCGTGCCTAAATCCCACGCTCCGCAACAAGAGAAGCCACCGCAATGAGAAGCCCGTGCACTGCAATGAAGAGTAGCCCCCACTCGCCACGACTAGAGAAAGCCCGCGCTCAGCAACGAAGACACAACACAGCCAAAAATAAATAAATAAATTTATTGAAAAAATAAAAAAGAGTGTACCGTTCAATGCCACAGGATGTAAAATATAGGCACAGAGCATGGAGTATATGAACAGTGTGGGACTTGACTGCAGAATTTATGGGAACTGGGATACATTAAACATATGTATAAATATATATGTATAAACATACACATAGGGCTGGCATACATTAAAAGGCTACTATAATATAGTCCATGAAGACTTGGATGCACTCTGAGTGCCACCAAGGCTGCAAGGGATGACCATGAAAGAAGAGGGCCCCAGACCTTCTATCAGGCAGATCTTGTGTTGCTACTATTATTGCATTGTAAGCATTGAATGTGCAAGTGTTACCAGTAACTTCTAAAAGTAATGCAACATACAGTGTGTTTAAAATATAGGTTATTTCGAAGTGCCTACAAGGGGACTCCAAGTCAGACGGGGAAAGTCAGAGATGGCTTTGCCCTCAGAGCCTCTGTTTCCTTATTTGGAAGCTTGGAGGAAATAGCTCTTCCTGCCCTACCTATTCTAGAAGCTTGTGGGGGGAATCAAGTTCATGAGACTATCTGTGACCTGTAGAGCATGGTTATACAGAGAGTCTTATGATCTTTCAGATTTAGGAGGAGCTGTTTGGTCTCCTCCTAGGAACAAATGGGTGGTTTTAAGAACAATGATGTTGTAGGTAATGTTACAGCGGGAAGAAGACAGGATGTCTCTGTATCTTTCCAAGGTGTTATGAAAAATGTTTTTATAAATTTGCTTTAAATATTTTTTTCAATGAAAACAATTTTACTTCTATTCAGGCTCTCCCCTGCTGTGCTAACACTGATTTCTACAACATTGGCTGGAAGTGAAAATAAAACAGACCTATAATAGAAGTTATAAGAAAATAAAATAAAATATAGGTCATTTCGACCACAAACCTCATGTCTAGTGATTAAAAATAAGAGTAATACTACTCTGTTGCATTGGCATGAAAATTCAAGAGATAGAATGGAAAGTAACTATTTTTGTCAAAAAGCTCATGCATGTGTACGTAATAGAATACTCCTGTATGGCAGATGGGAAAGAAAATGGCAGTCTTTGGACCTAAGAAGCAAACCTGATAGGTTTAGTTAGGCTGTCACAATGCTGGCCCACTTTTAAAAGTTGAATTAGTTGCCAACATTTAATATAATTAAAACAGAAAACTTTCATGACAGTCTCACCCATTTAGGGTTACTTACCTGGCTCCTATAGCATTTGAGTTAGTGATCCCTGTTTTATGGGAAGAAAAATCTAATAATCCCTTCCAGAAAAAAATGGCAAAATTTTGGAAGATTACGTTTGCCTTGATACCCCCTTGATTATGTCTGCATTGATACCAGTATTTTTGTCAGATGTAAAAATCATTATTAATCAACTGTAAACAAAGGATTTAATTTCAGGAATAATTTTAAAATATGCAAACTCAAAGGCTTAACTGTATCAGGGCAGGTGTGACCATTAACTCTGAAGGTTTATAGAATGTTTGGGATAACAGAGATAAGACTTGAATGAGACAAGCTGTCCTACATTGGTGTCAGATGTTACATTTCAAAACCAAATTCAATACCATTTTAAAAGTTGAGTTTCTAAAGCATTAATTTGTGTTAAAATTCAGCAGAGAGCTGAACTCACTTTTGAAGAGATATATAATAGCATAGAAGAGAAGAAACACCTTTTGATTAGTATCTAACACAGATCAGTTGGTAGTAAAATACTTGTAAATTGTAAAGACCCAACTGTTTTGCAAGACTTAGTACATATGCTTCCTCTCTCTCAAATGTGTATCAGGGAACATTTGGTGACTTTGAGTGGGAACACGAAAGAATTGAGAGATCTGGTCATCCAAAACTGCAAGAAGGATTATCCACAGATGCCTTTGGAGTATATGCTCTTTAAAAGCCATCACTTAAGCAATGTAAAGCAGTTATACTCCAATAAAGATGTTAAGAAAAGAAAAGCCATCACTTGTCAAGAAATAGCTATGTTATACATAACTACTGAAATTATGAATTCTACTGCCAGGCAGACCTCTTTTCAGCTAGATTTTCTTTTCCTGCTCTCTTGAGCTGCTCGGAATCTGAACAGGTGTAGAGGTGAAATGCCATATGTACAGAATATGTCAATGATATTACACCTGAAAAACCTGTACAAAAACGGGGAGGCAAGTGATAAAACTCATGCTGATGCCACTGCTGGGAGCCCAGATGACCAAGACATCTGGACTAGACTAAGCAGAAGCATAATCGGTGTGGAGGCCTCCTTTGGGCAGTGGCCCTCACCCTGGCAAGAGGTGTCGGACTCCAAGCAGCAAGTGTGCCCCCAGCATCCTGGATTTAGTTCCTGAACCAGACTCCAAGTTGCGTTATGTTCTTCTGAGCTCTGTACATGCTCTTCCCTCCGCCTGCAATACTTGCTCCCTTGCTCCTCCTTTTTCTATTTGACTACTTCTTGTTCATCCTTGAGATCTCAGCTTAAATATTACCACCTCCGGGAGCCCACCTTGACCTCCCAGACGAAGGTGCCCCATGTTTTCCCCAATGCTTTTCAATCCCCCAGGACTTGAAAAGTATTGATCACACTGGATGATAGCTTTGTTTTGCTGTTTATACCCCCTTATAGCTCCAGAGCTCCGTGAGGCCAGGTGCCAGGTGTGCCTTGCATTCCTAATGTGGAGTAAGTTACTCAAAAGATATTGGTTGGATGGTTGAACAAACTACAGCCCAACCTGTCTGCTTCTTAGCTCACTCAAGTACTCTCAGGTGACCTCTCAGCTGTCGAGTGTTTGTGAGCAGGGCTGAGAAGTTGGCCAACATTGGCCCTGATGCCTAACAGTTTCCCAAGGAGCAGAAATTCTTGGGACAAGTAAACCAGAGGTTTGGTGTGCAGCCTGGAACTTCTCAAAAACCAGTCTGGAAAGAATGAGATAGAAAAGGAGGATGTGTGTTTGGAGGAGAGGGAGGAAGCTTGGAAATATCTCCTCAAGACAAAGTGGGATGATAACATCTTGACCAGAAGTGGAGAATCAAAGACCAAAGATCAGAAAATCTAAAAGGAGGAAGAATGGATTTCTTGGAGGAAAGAACTCCACAATGGAACTATGAAGCGACTAGAGTCCCTTGTAGGTGTGGACACTGAGCCTGAAGTCTGAGAGGATGTGCAGAATTATTAGGAGTCAATAAATGTCTGTCAGTTGGGTTCCATTCTCCCCCTGATCTTGGGCAGCTTCTTTTACCTAATAAAAAGCCATGGCTGACCTCCCTAGGATGGGGAGAAAGTCTTATTTAAGAGAGAGTCAGCAAATGTCAGGGAAGGCTCCAGGCAGATTTCTTGGAATGATTTAACACCCAAGGGCAAGAAAGACACCAAGAAGCGACACCAGAAGCTAGTATTGCTTTTCCAGTATGGAAGCTGGCCAGAACTCAGCTGGTTGTCAAAAAGCACAGGCTCGGATGGACCTAGAGTCTGTCATACAGAGTGAAGTAAGTCAGAAAGAGAAAAACAAATACCGTACGCTAACGCATATATATGGAATCTAAAAACATTGTACTGATGAACCTAGTGGCAGGGCAGGAATAAAGATGAAGACGTAGAGAATGGACTTGAGGACATGGGGAGGGGGAAGGGTAAGCTGGGACGAAGTGAGAGAGTGGCATGGACATATATGCACTACCAAACGTAAAATAGATCGCTAGTGGGAAGCAGCCACATAGCACAGGGAGAACAGCTCTGGGCTTTGTGACCACCTAGAGGGGTGGGATAGGGAGGGTGGGAGGGAGACGCAAGAGGGAGGGGATATGGGGATATAGGTATACATATAGCTGATTCACTTTGTTGTACAGCAGAAACATTGTAAAGCAATTATACTCTAATAAAGATTAAAAAAAAAAAAAGCACAGGCTCTCAAACCCTCCTGTTCTTAAGGAGCATTAGTCTTTCTGCACTAGGAAACAGTGCAGCTAAAAAAAATACTTTTGAAGACTTTCCATGGTCCTCAGCATAGAGTTCAGTTCCTTAATGTGGCCTACAAAATCTGTCTTACGAGCCTCATCTTTTTCCCAAGGCAACTGAAATGAAGGAATGAATGGCTCCAACCCAGACTGGACTGAGTTCTCTGTAATCAGAAGATCTGGAAAAGGAGAATAACTCTAACCTGGTTCTTCAAACAAACCTGGAAGTTCCACCTGTTAAAACAGGAATGAGCTCTCTCCAGGGGCAAGGTGGCAAGAAATCCCTTCCTCTATGTCCAGCCTCTATCTCCTGCCTCTTCTGGGTCTGGGGATGCTGGGACCCCACCCCTCTTCAGTCTGACCTGGGATGGCTGAGCTGTCTGGTGCTAAATAATCTGGTCCCTCCCTAGTTGCCCCCCTTACCCAGGGAGGCACTAGTAATAAACCCTAGGTAGGTCTGACTCCAGAAGTGGGCCCACCATCCCCGACATGGATGATACCCTGAGATTCGGCAGGCAGGCAAGTTACCTCCTCGGCCCTCACTGGCAGCCGGCTTCACTTGGATGGGACGATTCATCTGAAAGACATCGGACCAACACACCCAGTCAGCATGACTGCCTGGCCCTGCCCCGGCTTCTCCACCCCTGGACTCCTCAGGATCTAATCCCTCACCCCTTTGAACTCTACACCCCACCACTCTCACACAGGGATTATAGATTTTCTCCAAGATTCCTCCCTTAAAGGCAGGAATTTAGGAGGTGCTGAAGCCTGAAGGATTAGGTGATAGGGAGCTCAGGGGCAAGCAGAGGAGGGACTGTGGAGGTCAAAAAGATTCTCCTGCCTTGGCTCTGTGTAGGGACATGTGCGGCCTGTCCCTCTGGCTCCTGGACTTCCTTAAAGGCTTTGGGTGCGAGGAATTGGGTAGGAGGGCAGATGTGTGTTCTGTGTCTAAAACTGAGAATATACTTCTATGTGTCACTTAGATGAAACAATCTGGGAATCAGATTTAGGGCCATCTACCCCCAACTCTGCCATTTAATGGTTGTATGACTTCGAGTAAACCATCCTCTCTCAGATTCAACTTGTCAAATGAGAAAAACCTACCTCAAGCTTCTATGTCACCATAGTTTCTACCCTCACCCTCTCAGTCCCCTCTCTGGGACCCCTTCCCCTGAGGATGCTGGAGTTCTCCAGGGCACCATCCTTGGCCCTACTCATCCCACTCTTCGCTTTTTTCCTGGCTAATCTCATCCACACCCACAGCCTCAGCTCCTGTCCCCACAGTGATGACTCAGAGCTCTGCGTCTCCAGCCTGTACCTCCCTCCTGAGCTTCAGACCCATGTGCCCAGCTTCTTGCCGGACACCCCGCCTAGAAAGTCCGCTGGCACCTTCCACTAAACACACCCAAACCAGAGCTCATCTTTTTGCCCAAACCTGATACAGTCATCCAGGCTATAAACCTGGAAAGCAGCTTGACTCCTCCCTCCATACCCTCCCCCAGCAACCAATTTCACCTTCTAATTCAGGGGTTCCCTGATCAGGGGTAGATAAGAATCACCTGGGAACCATATCAGACTCTTAAGTTGGGGGATTGTATAATTTGTAAACGCTCCTAGGTGATTTCCATATATACCCCACCCACTCCCATCCCCCAACCACCCTGAGAGAATTCACGATTGAATCCCCATCTCACCTTCCTCTCATGGGTGTTGTGGGGATCACATGACATAATGGGGACGCAAAAGGTCTTTGTAAACAGCCAAGAGCTGGATGCGTAGGATGTGAGGAATTATTGTTGGGGGGCAGACAGCTGAATGCCGGAAGGAAAGAAGAGCAGCCTTCCTGTTCATGGAGGAAGGGGTACTGATGGCCATCTGGCCTGAGAAGGTGATGATCTGACCCCCTCCCCTCAGGAAATGCAATGCTTCTGCACCAATCAGGGGCCACTCCATCCCCTACCAGTGTGCTCGTTGCCGAGACAACAGGCAGCTTCCTGTTACCATAGCCACAAGTGCTACCTAGTAACCATAGTAACGCCCTGGCAGTCACAGTTGAGCAATTTCCTTTGGATCAAATTTGGGGGAGGGGGAGTGGGGAGGGCTTAAAAGAAAAAGGAAAGGAAAGGAAAACAGGCCAAGCCTGAACCAGCGCAATCCCCCTCCCATCCAGGCCTCAGGTTCTTATGCGCTCTTACACACCCACCCGCTGGTGGTGGAGCACCTACAGTGTACCAGGCTGTGGGTGAGGGCCGAGACACCGACAGGACTCGGGCTGCAGTCTAGAGGGGTGACAGATCAATCCAAGGAGATCAGGGCGAGCTGGACAGGTCTGGATGGCCTGGACCAGGGACCAGGAGGACAGGACCCGTCCCTGGGCATGGCCACCTGTGACTGTGGAGGAGAGACCAAGAGACAGAGCCGGGCTTCCCTGGTGGCGCAGTGGTTGAGAGTCCGCCTGCCGATGCAGAGGACACAGGTTCATGCCCCGGTCCGGGAAGATGCCACATGCTGCCGAGCAGCTGGGCCCGTGAGCCATGGCCGCTGAGCCTGTGCGTCCGGAGCCTGTGCTCCGCAACAGGAGAGGCCACAACAGGGAGAGGCCCGGGCCCCCCAAAAAAAAAAAAAAAAAAAAAAAAAAAGAGACAGAGCCATGGAGAGCAGAGACACAGGGAGAGATGAAGAGACATAGGAAGACAGAAATGATGAGAGAATAAGACAGACCTACACAGGGGCAAGGAAAGAGAGAAATACTGGGGGAGATGGGAAGGAAATGAGGGGATAAGGGGTCAGGAAGGGGGGGTGCAGGAAAGGTAGGGAGGAGTGTGGCAGAAGGGTAGAAGCCTGGGGTTGGGGGCAGTGAGGGTGAGCAAGACCATCTTTATTTTATTAGTTCTTAAATAGATCCTAAGAATTTCTCGCTGGAGCCTAGAGTGACGAACACATGTAACAGCAGTGGTTTCCACGGCGGCTGCCTCCCCGGCTGGGTTTCTGGGGAGATGGAGCTCATCGGTGCTCTGGAGGATGTCCCTTTTCCCCCTCCCCCTCTCCACCACTGTTTGATGGAGAGTGGGCATTAGGTGGTACATACATGTGCCACGTGGACCTGGCAGAGTCCAGGTCTCGGAGGCTGGGCACCTAGACTTTCCACCACTCGGGCATGTTGCCAGTATGTCCAGAACTCTGTGAAGAGCCCTGGGCTGGGCCCTTCAGGGGAGACAGCGATGACCCTAAGACCCTGTCCTCAAAGGCATATACAGGGGAAGATAATGCCACCATTTCCAGAGAGCCCACTATGTGCCAGGCCCTTCCTGGGGCACTTTACATACATTGTCTCTAAACTCCTTCCAACCACTCTGCAAGATAGTGCCACTGTTCCCATAGTATAGATGAGAAAGCTGAGGCTGAGGGGGGTTAAATCACTTGTCCAAGATCACATGGTGGGTAAATGGTTGAGCTGGGATTTGCCTCCAGGTCTGCCTGACACTGAAGTCCATGATTTTTGCATTGTGTCACTCAGCTCCGTTCTTAAGACATGAACACAAATAACGAGGCACAGAGGGACCAGGACCTTGGGAGGCGTGCAAGGTAAAATGCTGTGGGAGAGGCTGACTCCAGCTGGAGAGGCTGGCTCAGGGAAAGTTTCATGGGGGAGGCAGGGTTTGAGCTGGGTCTTGCAGCACTGGGGTCATTTGGGCCATGTGGAGATCGTGGGAGAGGTGGGGCTGGAGGCTGAACACTCCAGGTGGCTGGGGTACGGAGAGGGAGATGCAAGTCTGAAGGAGCAAGGGTTTTCTGATGGCACCTGACACCGAGGGAGCTAGGGTAGTACAGATTGCTGCCAAGTCAGATAGACGTGGGTTTAAATCCTGGCTCCATCACTGACAACTTCCTTAAGGTTTCTGAGCCTCAGTACCCACACTAGTAAAAGCGGACTCAGGATCCCACCTTGAAGGGGTGTGGTGAAAATGACAAAGGCAAGATCTTAGTAGGTGCACCAGATGTAATAAATTTTTTGTTTGTTTGTTTTTGTTTGTGTGGGTTTTAAATGGAAGGATATGAAATTGGAGGGTAGGCAGGGGCCAGATCAGGGCAGGTTGCGAAAACCATGACAAGGAACTTTGACTTTGTTGTATTTCAAAGTCAATAGGGATCCAGGGAAGGATATTAAGTAGGGGAGGGATCTGTCTTATGAAGGATCCCATGAGCTGTCATTATGCAGAGAAAGGATTGGAAAGATTAGAGGCAGGAGGATCAGTGATGTAGGGGAGGGTTCTGTCTTATGAAGGATCCCATGAGCTGTCATTATGCAGAGAAAGGATTGGAAAGGGAAAGATTAGAGGCAGGAGGATCAGTGATACAGGTGAGGGTGAGGGTGACTTGGACTAGGGCAGAAGGAAATGGACAGATTCAGGAGATGTTCAGGAAGAATTAACTGGACTAAAGTTCTGTTGGATGTGGGGACTGAGGGAGAGGAGGGAATTTTGGCTGACTCTCAGGCTTATGGCTTAGGTGTTGGGGAAGTTGGTAGTTTGGGAGTCAGGAGGTGCAGGGGAAGTCCTCAGGGGAGGAGCCCAAGATGGTGATGACAGAGTTGGGAAGAGTAATGCTCGCCAGGCTCTGGGCCTTCAGTCTCCACTGGGAAGTGGTTAGGGAGGACACCCGGTTTTTAGGTATGTTCTGTGTGGCTAAAGGAGAAAGAGAACTGCCCACATGAGCTACCTGGGCAACCCTACCCTGCCTCGTTCCTGCCACAGCCAGGGGAGGGATGTGGAAGCGGGTTCAAGTAATCACTGTTCCCCTTTGAAGAAAAGAGGGCGTTGCCTCCTTGGCCAAGAACTTGTCATGGGACCCTCACGGGAGCTGTTGCCCTTGGCTGAGCACCTATTCCCCTGAGACTTTCCCCGAGTCCAGGCACATTTCTGCTTCAGGGCCCAGCCCTGGAGGGGAAATCAAGGGAGAGTATGTCAGAAAGAGGAGAGGACAACCTACTCCAAGCAGTGGAGTGGCAAAGGTCAGAGGCAGGACAGACACGTACGGGGTCCTAGGCCTTCTGCCCCTGTAAGCAGCAGGGAAGGCAAGACCTTACCCCTTCTCCCTGCTTGACTTGCCAAGAATTCCTGCCTTTGGGCTCCACATTGCCCTCTTCACACTCTTCTGTCCTGATCACAACTCTTCCCTCCACTCAGCACTCATGCCCTCAGCCCCTTCCCCTCACCATGGGAAGAATGCTTACTGGAACCTCCCCAAAGAAGGGACTACTGCTGGGTCTAAGAGAGGTGTCATGGGTGTAAGAAAGAGTGGAGCAGATGAAAAGGAAACCACCGTTTTCAGTACTTTGTTCTACCTCACCCCCTTCCTCTAATTCAACCCACTGCCACGTCCCATTCGTTCTAGAATCTATATGGATTTCCTAAATCGTTCTCAAGTCCATCCTCCCCTCTCCGTTCCTACCCTAACCCCAGCTCCAGGCCAGTATCATCACTCACATGCCCTCAGCAAGTGTTTCCAGAGGGTCATCTGCCTCCAGCATTGCGTCCTCTCCCCCCGAGCATTCACGCTGTAGCCAAAGTGATCTTTCAGTACCAGTCCCTCACTCTTCCCTGCTCAAAATCCACCCACAGTTCCCCATTGCAAGCCTCCCAGTAAAGCCCGAGATCCTAAGACTGGGAGCCAAAACCTGTTAGTCCTGCCTCCCGTGCCGCCCAACATGCGTGATACTCTCCATTCACTTGGAGCCTTAGACATCTTTGCTGGGCACTTTCCCTGACTGTCCCCAGAACTCCAGAAGACACTTTTGTCTTTTAGGTTTCTAGGCCTTCAAACATGATGAAGTATGATCATGATTCAGCTCAGACAGCATCTCCCCTGTGGAGCAGCTCCTCCTTCTCCACCCCTGATGCTTTTTCTACGTGCCCAGAGGTTAAACCCCACTGAGGTGCAACAAGTTATTTCTGGGCTGGAAGCTCCTTGAGGGCAAAGGTGCCAGCTCATGCACCGGGCAGCTGCTAGCACATACAGTGCCTTTGTGTGAGTTACAAAGAGGCAACCCTGTGGGCAAATTAGGAAAAATGTCCCCCTTCCTCTGGGCTGACACAGTCCTGTGATAATGTGCATGGCTTGGTCAACAGAGCATGGCTAGATTTCGGGCCCTGTTTGCCTTTTCCTCTCAAGCTGTTTTGTGCAGGGCACAACCTGCAGAAGCAAATGTACTCAGTTATGTCTGTCTCCTTCATGGTGTTTGAAGGGATGGATGCCCAGGGGAAAGGAGAGCATGAACATGGAGGGAGACAAGTGCAGGGGCAGGAGGGAACCTTCTGAATCCCAGAAGGTGGGGCTGAGGTTGGACCTCACTTTCTTCGGGTGGATTCTGGAGCCTAAAGGGAGGCTGAAAGAAGTCACTCTGGCTTCATGGGAAGAAGCTGTAGAAGTTGGGACAGACCACTGAGGTTTGAAGGAAGAGTCCTGAGTAGCGAGTCAAGCTTTGATGGGTGACAGAAATTAGCAGGGAGCTCGTGGAGGGGGGCCGAGGGGAGGTCCCAGTCCGGCAGATAACATGAAATTTCTCCTAGCGGTTCTGGCTTTCTCTTTAGGTTTGACTGAGCCTTTCCTAGTCTCTT